TGTGTGTGTGTGTGTGTGTGTGTGTGTGTGTGTGCCTTGCTCAACTCTTGGTAGCTTCATTCCTATTATATCAACATTTTCAGAAAGCATTGCAAGAGTGAAGTATTTAAATTTTATTTTCTATGTATGTGTTGCTGATTTTTAGAAGCATGATTTTTATATTGGTTTTATATTCAGCAAACACATTCAATTCCCTTCTGATTTCTCATACTTTAATATGCAGTCTTTTTTGTAATTTCTATATACAAAATCACATCATAGGCAAATACTGCTTTGTTTTAATTCTTTCTACTACACAATGCTTTTTAAAGGTTTAATATATCATATATTTCTTTAATCCATGAATGGAGCTGGGTGGGATGGCTCATGCCTATAATCCAAGCTAATTAGGAGGCAGAAATGTGTAGTATTGCAGTTCAAGATCAGCCTGGACAAAAAGTTGATGAGATCCATCTCAACCTGTATGCTCAGCCTAGTAGAGTGCTACTGTAACTCCAACTAAATATAAGTAGGAGGATTGTAGTTCAGGTCAGCCTGGACAAAAACCTGAGACCCTATCAGAAAAATAACTAAATCAACAAGGGCTGGGGTATGGCTCAAGCTGTAGAGTGCTTGCCTAGTAAGTGCAAAGCCCTGGGTTCAAAACCCCAGTTCTGCCAAAAAAAAAAAATACTTTGAACAGACTCAGAAAATGAAAAATTATAAAAATCACAGTTCTTCCTCAATCCTCTAATCATCAATTAAAATTTGTGGTGATCTTTCTAGACAGAAATAGTTTTAAACATTGGACAATAAGAAGGGACATAATAATTGTGAAAATACCATTTTCATGTAATAAGCTATCAGGGACACTTTTGTATAGTATTGAACACACACACACACACACATAAGTGCATGATTTTTATATTGGTTTTATATTCAGCAAACACATTCAGTTCCCTTCTGCATATATATATATATGCATATTTATGTATATATATATATATATGCACTCTACTACTTGAGCTATGCCCTCAGCCCAACATGGTAAATATGTTCCTGTACAAATTTAATTGCTATTAAATGTTTTTCTACTCCATTGTCACTCATGAATTTACTTGTTTTAGCTTTTTGTGATTATGCACAAATCTGCCTTGAAGACCTTGTGGGTGAGTTTGCACTGCTATTTTAAGTTTTAGGCAAACTTTCCTGGAAAGTAGACCTTGTGGGTCAAAATGCAAAGCCTTTGGATCCTTGTTGCCAGTTTGCTTTCTGCAAGTGTTGTGAGGTTCTCAATTCACACCTTGCATGTGTGTAACTTCTTGTTTCCAAACACTGTAGCCTTTGTTGATACTTTCGCCTTCATTATGTGCAGTGCCTTTTTTTTAGTGCATAAAATCTGTAGCCTTTTATGCACTAGAGTTTCATGAAAATATTTAACCTTTTTCTTTTCATATTATTTTCCCAACACTTTGTTTCACTCCTTTTACTTTTGTCTTAAAAGTGCAGGATTTTCAAATTAGAGTAATACACACTTTCCTATTGGAAACAAGCCTGGAATTTTGAGTGATCGATGAGTTGCTGACCCACTGATACCTTTTTAGTTTTGTTTTCCTGCACCTAACTAATCTTCTTTTCTCTAAAAGGGAGCTCTGTTTTTCAAGACTTTTAAAGATAATTACTCTTTTTTGTATATACAGATTAGGATACATTGTCTATAACAAAACTATAATGTATCCTTACATATCATATTTTTATTTCTTGTTACATTGTGTGAAGGAAGCTATCACTTAAAAAAATTCATGTAAAGATTTCAGTGTAGTAGGAGAGTAGTGGTAAACATCAATAAATGGCAGATCTTATTTTTAATTAGAACTCTAAAGATCCTGAAATGAGATAATTGTAATACCTACCTGACCATTCATTGGTCTTGTATTCTGTTCCTTATAGATTGACAATTATTTGTGGGGTTTGGTTTATATTAATGTAACTCAGCCACAAACAATGTGCTTTATAATTATAATTGTCAAGTAACAGATCAAAGATTTCTCATGGTGAGAATGTGAAGCTTAACTTGGCATGTTTATGGTTTTTTTAATTGTTATTGTTTTTCTTCCCTATCTCTTTTCCTTAGGTCATTGCCACCACACTTAGGTTCCTACATGTTTTAATATTTTCTCTCACTGGTTTTGTTTCTAGGGGAAGACGTAATTGGAAACATTGCTGTGTAATTGTCTTCCCATTGCTCCTGCCCCATGCACCTCAGGAAAGAATGTGCTAGCCACTTCTAGTCCTCTTTGGGCAGTTTAGATTCTGTGTACATCGACTTCAGAACAATGCTTGTTTGCTTCATTTAAAAGACAATTTTGTACTCCCTTTCTGTTCTTCACTCATGAAACCCTCCTCCTCTACAGTCCCCCTATGTCCTACACATCTGTGGTTTGCCAAGCATATGAAAGGTGTGGGATCTGCTATACAAACTTTTCTTTGTGATAATTTAACCAAATAATGCTCTGTCATCTTCATAATTGTTACTGCCTTCACTATTTCCAGTGAATGAGTGATGCTTATTTGGGCTTTAGGGTTCATCACAAATGAACTGTGATAGAGTCCCATTCATGCAAGTACTGTGGAAATGTAGCCTTTAATTTGGAAATGGTTGTTCTGGAGTAGTGTGTTAGAATAAAATTTTAGAAATTTGCGCATCATGTACAATTTTCACTGGAGAATCACTGTTGTCATACGAGTTAGATGTGCATGCACCTTAAAACATCAGATGGTGATAACTTTATGCTAAGTACTGAAGATTTCTAGCTAGCTAATTATTTTTTACTTTTATACTTTATACACCAAACAAACATTGAAGGTATCTATTTGGCCAATTTATTTATATTTTATATCTTGTACCCAAAACAAAACAGAGTGTTGTGCTTTTCTAGACCAGTTAATATCCATCCTTTCCTTTTCCTTTCCTCTTTCCTTTTTTTTCATTTGTCTTTCTTGTTGTGGCACTAGAGTTTGAACTCAGGACCGACACCTTGAGCCACTCCACCAACCCTTTCTTGTGATAGTTTTTTTTCTCATTTGGGCTGGCTTCAAACCTCGATCCTCCTGATCTCTGCCTCTTGAGAAGCTAGGATTACAGGCATGAGCCACTGGCTCCTGACTCCGTGCCATTCTTAAATCCGTAGATCTTTGATCAATTTTTTTCTCTCTGAATGTTAGAGTTTATATTCCTTGTGTTTGTTAGGTATTTGGAACTTGAATTTGGAAAAGGAAAAATGTGCCTCATGGGAGCTACTTTCATGGTCCCTGTTATCCTGGGGCATAATCACATATTTACATTTCATTATAAATTGCTAGCTCTCTAATATTATCAAAAGATTTCCTTGCTCTTTTAAGAAAAAGCATTATGTTAATCAGAGTCTGACGTGTGTTTCTTCTAAATGGCATCTGATGTGGTATCTCTCTTCAGTTCTCTGTGGTTTCCTGTTTTTTTCATACATAGAGAAAATCCCTTTGAGGTATTAAGACTCATATTTTTCTTCTTTTATGGTACATCAGACCTAAAGTTTCTTATAAACTTAACATTATATTCTAAGCTGTCTGATCATTCATTTATGCCATATCACACAAACTTCCTTGGAATTCCTCTAGCCCTTATGTGTAGCCATCAACTGTGTCTTTTAGAAGCTACCTGTCTTACCCCAAAAGTATGTGTTTTTCAGGAGCAGAGATGGTATATTGAATGTCTGTAGTTATTTGCCCCAACAGTGCCTTTCCCTAGCACATGATAGATACAGCAGATCAGTGACTTTCAAAAGTGGTCACCTGAAAACTGACATCTGTCCATTCTCAGGCCCCAAACTGCGTACAGAGCATATTGGCTGGATAACCTCTGTGTTAAGTCCCTTCCAATGACTCAGTGCATGCTAAAGAGTGGCAGCCACTGCTATGGATAATGATTCATGAGTGTCAACGTTGTAATTTCCATAATGCATCATTAGGAGATCAGCGCGAACAAAATTTAGACCATTTCTGCTTCAGTAACTTATTTCTCAAGAGACAATGATATAGTAAAGAAAAACCTAACATTTAAACAGTTGCTGTCTTTTAAGACGCATATAGCTTTTGTGCTGTACTATTTTGAAGACTAGAGATTAAATTTTTTAAAACAATGTAATGTTACTTCATGTATTCAGGAATAGGCATTTGGTATCTAAAAGGAGGAGGGCCTAAGGAAAGCATGAGTATTACTGATTTTCATGGGGTTTGGGCAGAGAATGGGTAAATATTGGAAACTGACTAGGTAAGTGAATGGGATAGAAGTTTTTCTTTGTTACCATCCTGTGCTCTTCTAGATTTTAGAAGCATGTTAATACATCTTACTTTTGGCATATGATAATAAAGATAAATTAGTGAATGGATATTGGATAAATAAATTCCCATGAGATAACTGTTTTAATTATGTTTATAAAGCAAGATTTTTCTTTGCATTGATATGAAAAGTTTAGATAATCTGTGTTTTGCATCTGTGCAGAAAACATCTGGAGGTAGCACATAAGTCTTGATGACTTTCCACCATAACTTTCTTGAAATGTGGATATACATTATTCTTTTGTGTAGCAAATAAAGGATTCTCACTATTATATAGGTTGACTGTCTTGTAATTATTTTAAGGAAACAAAGGGCATAGTTAAATAACTTTGTATGCAAATGAAGAGGTCATGCTGCATAAGACTTTGACCCTAACATATTCTTTTGGATGTCTTTCTAGAGAACTCTTGATAGCCAAGAGAAAATTTGATAGTTTGAGAGAAAATTAAGATTTTTGTCCTATTCTTAGCAAATTCAAAATAGCCATGTTAGCAGAACTTGTTACATGTGATCTAAATTAGGAATAATCTTCTCAACTGTTTATTAATATAAATACTAAATTAATTTTAGGATTTGTGCTGTTTCAATGAAAGGTGTGTCTTCACTGATGCTTAATTCACTTATTTTGTTTTTCCCTTGTGTAGAACTATTGTACCATGGAAAGTATTCAGACAGTGCCTTCATGAGGTCCATCAAATTAGCTCTGGCCTGGAAGCAATGGCTCTAAAATCAACCATTGATTTAACTTGCAATGATTACATTTCAGTTTTTGAATTTGATATTTTTACTAGGCTATTTCAGGTAAGCATTATTCTGTTTATTCTAGCCCTTCCTTCTTCTCATTCCTCCTTCTGTGTATGTGTGTGTGAGTGTCTGTCTGTCTGTCACCCACACACAAACGCAGACATGAAAAGAGTCATCTTCATAGTCAGTAATTTCATTCATATAAATGTTTGAAAATTCCTCTAAGTTTAGAGTGAATCACTGGCAGAGTTGTAGGTCTTAGGGGCCTGGTGATTGCTTATCAGATTTGAGAGGACTCATAAAGAGGAGTTCTGTTTTAAATACCTTTTGTAGTTTCTCACTTTGTTCATCTTTTAGCTCAAAGACTGATAGGATCCAATATTTGCAGATGGGTTTTTGCCAGAGTTGTAACCCTATATTTCTTCTTTATTAATGGCATTCATTAGGTTAAATGGTAGTCAAGTTAGAAATGACCAAGTTGTCTCCATAGAAGTATACCAGGATTTTATGCAATTATACAAATTGTTTTGCTCATTCAGACATATAAAATGAATAATTTCCCATATCAATAAATATATTTACTGATACAATTTTCAGTTTCTGTATAATATTCCATCAAAATTGTGTGTCATTATTGATTTAACAGAAATCTCTTTGAAAATATATTTTTCTCTGTTTTCTTCCTACTATAAACAAATCTGTGATGTACTTTTTATTCTTTTTGTTTTTATTTCTTAAATCAATCTCCATAATTATTTCTACGTAGATATTCAGAAGTAGGCAGCATCACATTGATACTATCATTTTGTTCTTTTGCATATGCATCTTCATGCATAAAGACTTGAAATTTGTGTTTTAAGTTTGACTTTGCCACTAAAACTCTGTTTTACTCATGAGATTTAACTGCAATAGGCACAAAATGCAAGGATCCCACTTAAAATGTTTATGATTATAAAAATATTAATTTTATAGTAAATAAGGTAAATTGATTAGAAACCAGGTTTACTTATGTACTGGAAAAATTCTTATTTTAATTGAAGTATGATTTATTCTAATTGTAATATTCTTTCAACAAAAGTGTAACATTGGTTTCAAGTTTCCCATGTTATATGACTTTTATGTTTGAATTATGACACTCTTGGGCCCTCAAGGGCAAGGATTGGGGACTAATTTATATAAGAGAACAACATTGCATGGGATTAACTTAATTTATTAAAGAACTGATTAATAGGAGACACATTAACTCCTGTCAACAATATGAACAGGATAGACTTTGTTTTAATTCAAAACCATAATTCTACTTTGGGTTCAGGATAAGAAATTATTGCAGTACATGTGTTTTTGTTTATTTTATATTTCTTATAGTTTTGTGATTTTTTTTTTTCCTTGATGAACAAAGGTTGTCCGCTCATCTTTTAAAAAAGGTTTTCAGGTATATTTTAAAAAAATGTTGTGTTGCCCAATACTGACAGATTTCTGATAATTTTATAGAATAAGTATTTTGTTTATTTAATATGATACAAGACTTTCTAAATAAGAGCTTTTTCTTTACTTTGCAAAGGAAGAAAGCAAAGTAATTTTCACACATTAAACTTAACTGTTCATTTTAGAAAGTATATATTTTTTGTGGTGAGCTTAGATGACTTTTTAGTATGGGTATTAAATGCTACAATGACTCAAATTTATATATTAAGCATATGAGGACAGCTTAATTTTGTTTAAATGCTTATCTAAACTGCTTCTTAATACGTGCATATTTTTCTTACAAGTTGTTTCACTTTAAAATAGACAAGTAACCTTAATACTTTTAGGTGTGAATGTCTTGTATTACGTTCACTGAAATGGGAGAGGAAAGAGGTTTTGTTTTTAAAGTAGAGCTACTGTAAAATGTTCTGGATAATAAAACCAAAAATCTAAGAATGCCTAATCTCTTTTAAAACACAATTATAGAAGTACCTGAAAAACTATGGGTAGCCCTATCTCTGAGATTCTTTATTTCCTTTGATTTCTATACTCATTTTTCAAATGCTTTGGCTATATTCATGAATATACCTTAAAATATGATGAAATTGATTTTATGATAGTATAACTTCCTCTGGTCTTTTATTTTTACACACCTTTAGAATTGAGTATTCTTTTTTCTTAATTTTATTATATTTATTAAAATGTTATGTTTATATAGTTTATATGAAAAAATGGAAGTTATGTTAATACTGTAACTGCATAGACATATTTCACTATTGTATGATACTGGTGGCTAGTGATAATGAACTCTTCCATCTCTGAATTATTGGTAGTTGGCATTTACAGAGTATCATCTGAAAGTGGGTTAGCTACACTCATCTGAAGTAGAGAAAGTAATAAGGGTTTGAAAAGTACTCAGCAGAGGCCAAAAGATGAAGTCAAGAATTGCAAAAGGTATAAAAGAAGCAAGAAAGCTTTCTTCTTCTTGCCCCTCATCCTTCTATTCAGGAAGAACTTAAGCAAATTCTGGAGAATCTTTGGAAGGATCTTGTTGTAGTTATGTGGCTGCTTTCATCCTTTCTTCTTTTTTTTCCATCCTTTCTCTCTTTATATTCTCCAGGTAGTTGAGAGATGCTGGGATAAGCAGATGCTAAGGACCTGGAATGTTGTATAGGGATTTTGCTTCTCTTCCCTCTCTCTGGGACTGCTGCTTCCTTTCTTCCATTTCTCTACTATAGAGCAGATTGGATTATTGAGAAATGGGGCAATGAATTTTTTGGGGGGAGCAGGATAAAGTAGGAATGTTTGGGGGGAATATTCTAGTCACAATGGAATATAGAGCATTAATGGAATAGGGAGAAAATAAAAGAGGAAGAAAGTCATTGGTTATAGCAAAGAGTTATTCAGCTACTTGAGTTGTTAAGTCAGTAATTGGTTCTTGAAAAATAGAGGCATTTGGGAAATGGAGGGTCTAGTTTCTTTAATTCACCTAATTGTTGTTTAAAAATCTCCCAGTAGTTTCATATTCATGTGTGTGAAAAATTTTCCTTTAAGTGAAAAAAAGTGAATTAGGAAAATAATTTTTACCTCCAATGTACTTTGTTTTGCCTTTTTTAAGCCATAAGTTTACAAGATACTTTTTAACAGAAAGGCAGAAAAATACATAAGTACTACATGTTTCTAACTGTTTTGAGTGGGTTGCATTTACAAGAGAAACAGCATACACTTTATTCTGTTATATAAGTATTTTTTGCAGTGAGTAGCTGACCCTCTAGATTATGTACGAAGAAATGGTTGCTAAATACTGTAGCAGCTGGGTCTACACTTCAGTTTTGTTTTATTTTTCACTTCTGTTTTGATCTGTTCTTTGGCTCTCTATAAAGGTTATCATTTTTTAAAACAATTATTTCATTACTTTGTGTGGACTTTAATGGAAGTGACCTCAATGTTTGTTTGATATTCTTTCTATCTTTGTCCTTTGTGAATGGAGAAGCAAATAAAAAAGCAAAACCCAAGATGTATAGAATAACAGTTTTTTTCTCAGTTGCCTTTTTAATATATACTGTTATTTTAGTCAACCTCTAAGAAGAAAATTGAAAACATGCTTTTTTTTTTCAAGTGCAAAGACAGAACATCTCATGTTAGTAGTATTCTCCAGAACTCCTTTTTAATCCAATTAGATATTTTAATGTGATGAGGAAATACCCTAAAGATTTTTCTTGTTATGTCAAAAAAAATGCTAAAAAACTCTTTATTATTAAATCATTCTTTCTCTCATTATCCTCATCACAAGGGACGTACATAGTCCTTGAAGAATTCCGCCTTGCTAATTTTAAACTTGCTTTACAATAATTAGTAACAAGTCTCAAAGCAAACAAAAGCAGGAACCTACTCATAATCATGTCTGGAGAACTGTTTCAGCAGCTTTAACTGTACAACATAATATACCTTCTGTTTTTCTTTTCTTTTAAGTAGAAGATTTGAGTGAAGAATCTGGCACAACAGTTGTAGTGGTCTTCCAGTTCCTTAGAATAATGTAGCGTCAGCCTTAAAAATGTTATAAAGATGTTTCATCCACACCCTCAAGCAAGTTGTCTAGCACTGATGTCCCTTTTTCTCTTGCCATGATAACTTGAGGGTCAGCTAATCAGATTAAAGAGACATTGATACATTGATTTAAAAAATGTATTTTGTGAAAGGTTTTTTACATAATTCACTTTTAAACCCTTAACCTTTCCCCAATTCATAATTGCATAAGGATAAGCCAGATATGAGTACAGTAACATGTTACTTTGGAAGGAACTCTAGCCATTTATGTAAGTCACTATTTAGAGGCTATGTTCAACAATTATCCCTACTGATGACTATGTATCTGACATAGTGCCTGGTTGTGGTGTCCATGGATGAGTGAGACTGAGTGAGACAGGCATGGTCTGTACCCTTAGGTAGCTTATGGTTAATGTATAACCTTTGCCAAAAGGTTATTTGCTATGAGGTTATTTCTTATTCTATAGAATGAAGCACATGAGTACACAGTAATGTATAGAACAGATACCAGCAGATGAGCATGTGATGAGAGGATATTTGGGGTAGAGGAGGAAGAATCAACAAATAAAAGACTTGGAAGGGGAAAAGTGTTTTTGTCTTCAGGCCCATAGCAATGAGGCCATTGTGGGTGAAGAGGCAGAAAGTAGAAGAGAAGTAGCAGGTGGGGACAGAGAGGCTTCTGGGGATCAAACCCTTTGAGGCTCTAAGTTTACTTACAAGGACTTTGATCTTACTTGAAGTTAGAATATTTTAAACAAAAGTTGTATGGTTTATATTTTAAAATGATCACAAGTGCTACATTGAAAATAGACAACGTAGAAATGACGTGGTTTTCCTTTTTGCTGTCTATATTCTATTCCTAAGGAACCTATTTTCTACCTAATCACATTTTTCCAAAAAAGAACAAACTATTACATGTTTGTTGTTAGTTAATAAAGGTTAACCTAAGCCACATAAGCTCATAGTAACTTTTAAAATATCCAGAATTTGATTAAGTGTGTGAAATCATGGTTTGACATATAATCAGTTGTTGATATTGTCTAGTAATCTCTTTGAATTTATTTATGTTTTTAGCCTTGGGGCTCTATTTTACGCAATTGGAATTTCTTAGCTGTAACACATCCAGGTTACATGGCATTTCTCACATATGATGAAGTTAAAGCACGGCTACAGAAATACAGCACCAAACCTGGAAGGTAAGACTTTTTAGCAGTAATACTATATGATGTATTTAAAGAAGAAATAGTCTCTGTGTTCATATCTAAGTAAATCAGTAACACCATGGGAGATGGGGTACAGTGGAAAACCTAATAGTCCAAAAGGGTGCTTTATTAAGTCCTTTAAATTGATACATTTTGCTTATTCTAAAGCTTAGTATTCATTAAGTGAAAAAAGTGTTACTATGTAATTTGTTAAATTTAACGATTTATTAATCCTCCTAGCTCTGCTTTTCATATTGGAGTAGGACATTAACATATTGTTTTATGATGTCTAAGTTTGTGTATGTTTATATGTGTATATTTTAATGCTTGAATATTGTGATAAAGACAAAATAAATAGATCAGTTTTATGTTCATTATTAGGATTTTTTGAAGACATTAGTTAGGCTTTATGATAAATATAAGTAAAGTATGTATCAATGTATATAAAAATACATTTATGTACTTGATAAATACATATAAGAATATCAACAATGTTGAAATCTCAATTTCATGTCCTTGCAGATTTTTACTTTAATACTTCCTGCTCCTTTACACTCTAATTGTGTTTTACTTTTTCAGAGATAAAATTGAGGGAGACTCACAGAGGTTGAGCATTCAGTCAGTCCTTCTGACTATGACCAGGAAATCATACCTTATTAATGGAAAACATGAGACCAGAAAATGTATCTGTTCTCTGGCTCAGTGCATTTTCTTTCCCATATGTCCTGTCTGGAAGTATGTTAGGCACAGAGTAGGCCTTAGAGCGCTAGCATCACTGTGGACAGTGAGTTGGTACAACAGTCATGACAGTAAGAGACCTGTCCTTGGGGTCTTCACATTTTACTTCAGGATGTCACTGCAGTGTCCATTACTGCACTGGTTTTCAAATGGAGACTATTTCATTTTAAGAAAGCATTTGATTTTTTTGTCTATGTTTTTCTTCTGGGTACATTTTTATTTGATTTGTTCTGCATATGGCATATGTCCTGTAACAGAGTCTTCCTAAGTTGAAGCCAAGAGTTTTTATTCCTTTCTTCTCTGACATAATTTAAATTTCCATTTTAAAAAAGAATCAATATGATATATAAAAAAGGAGCTAGTGCTATGAAAATAATTAGGATCCTATTGAAGTCTTCTCTTTAGATTAAGCCGAGTTGGCTTAATTATTGTGACCTTGAAAGCAGATCACATGTTTTGTTTGTTGACAGGGGCTTAGATGGATCATTTTGTTTTTCATTCAAGGGTCTTACCTCACCAGATTTTTGCATAGTAAAAGCTGAAATGGATAGTCTATAGAAAGTTATAATGTTGTAAATTTCTATATTGTTATTTAAAATATGTTTAGAAAGACACTCCATGAGCAAATCAAATAATTTTGATAGGAATTTGCTTTGTAGAATATCTGTGCTTAATAATACCTTTTTCTTGGAAATTATTTGATCTCTTAGGCTTAACAGTAAATGAAATAGACATTTGGGTTCCTTAAGTTATCCTTTATTTGGGTTAAATTTAGCAAAACATTATCTACCTGGTTAAGTGTTTCGAGGGTTGGGAGTACAGCTCAATAATAGAATACTTAATTAGTATGCATGAGGCCCTGGGTTTGACTCTCAGCATCACATACACAAAAATATTGTGAATCTAAGGAAACATACCTTGAGCAACTTTTAGTGTTAAAAGAGTGACTTTGAAATCTAAACCACCCTGTCGATATGTAAAAAAAAAATCATCTGATTATGGTAAGCATACCATTTTGTAGAACAATTTGCTAAAACAGGCATAAATTATGAAGTTGAATAGCAAAAGAAGTGAGTGAGAGGAAGAAATTCTTCTAAAAAGATATGTGGTAGCTTTCAGCAAATTGTTTGTAATATTGTAAATTGTTTGGATAGTTGCATGAATTGCTTGAATTTCCTCTGTAATAATCAGTTTTTGAAGCACCATGCTAAAATAGTGTTTAGGAAAGCAGAAAAGAAATGTTAGTTAAAATCTAAGCAATTTCACATACATGCTTTTTCATCATTTACTAGATTTTTAGTATACGAATAATACGGAATTACTTTTGAAATGTTAATCTTGAATATTTGTAATTATTTTCTTCATCTTAGTATCATATACTTTTAAGTTCTTTGGAAATCCTTATTACACAAAAATCTTTAAGATTTCTACAACTAACTCTTCATTCGAAAGAATAATACCATTTATATTTCTTTTTGTAACAAGTAATAGTGATCTTCAAGTTGTAATCATAGTGACTTTCTATTTTTTTTGGCACTTTTCATAACATCATAACCCTTAGTCTGGGTGGAAATGTCTGAGCTGATTCTGATGAAGGGTGCCAGTAATTGACATGTTAATAGCCTATTTTCAGATTCTCTTAGGAGACTATGTTCTAAACTTCATTGAAAAGGTCACTTGTGACATTTCTATAACAAATATGAAGTTCTTCATATTAAAAAATCACAAATTCTTGCTTTCTTTGAAAACTCAATTTTCTTGATAGGTGAAATCATGTTGCACTACTAAATATAGCAGGTAATTAAATCCAGTGAGTATACCACTACTATATTTGCTTAAATTATATCTTGTAATGTTATTTCTTTGGTACTTGGTTTATCAATTACTACAGTAAATTAAGAGATACTTATATTTTCTTTTTTTACTCATTTCTTACATTCATAATACAGCTTAAATATAGCCAGCAAAGTTATTTTTGACCTGTTTAGTGGGCTTTAAAGTTCAGATAAGGATGTCTTTATGGGAAGATTAAGTATAAGACACTTAAATAAAGAGATGCTCTGAACTGAGTGAGATAAATAGCTGAATGAACAAATGAAATGTCTCTTTTCACTGGAGATTAATTTTAAGGAATTTGTCTTTCATTTAATTTATGTTTTTGAACTATTTGTGTATTGAAAGTTACTTGGCTGGCAGGGTTAGGTGGCAGCTACAAACTTGACCTAGTTTCTTTCTCATAAATATAATAGTTCTGCTATTGAGATTCATTTTATTTGAATCACTCAACTGGTTGAAAGGAAAATAAACAATTTATTATATGAACAAAAAGCATAATTTCAATATTTAAATTATAAGGTAATATTTTAAGTTCCACAATAAAAACTGGCTCAGTTTCTAAGGTGAGATGGACAAAGTAAATTTGTACTTACTTATTTCATTTTTATTTTCAAAAATGGTTTTTGTCATTTCAGAGCAGAGCATTTTCATACACAGCATCCCTAATGGTGATGGTAATAAGTCATTTATTAGTGTACAACCTCATTAATTTTGTTGTATAACACTGGAGGTATCTAAGTGAGAAGAAATTATTATCAGCGTTTCTTTTACAGATTGATAAACCGAGAACTGCAATGATATTAAAAACATGGTAAAACATAGAAATTTATAGCAGGATCTCTAAATGATTATGTTTAGTTTTCTGATTAAAAAGAAAAATAGTAATGTATTATTTATTAGTTGCCATACTTTTCTAATGTGATTGGACATCATTTTCTCATGCTTTATAGCTACATTTTCCGGCTAAGCTGCACCCGACTGGGACAGTGGGCCATTGGCTATGTGACTGGAGATGGCAATATCTTACAGACCATACCTCACAACAAGCCCCTCTTTCAAGCCCTGATTGATGGCAGCAGAGAAGGCTTGTAAGTATGAGAAATGGGTGCTGGGTACTTATGACTTGAGAAATAGAGGCTACCTAGCATTTGAGAAAATGGATAGCCAGGCTGATGACCTCATGGTTTGCTTTCTACCTCAAGACTAGCTGTATATATACTAAAGTAAATTCTTTAAAATAATTGGCTTCTCTTGCTTCATGTAAGATTAAAATTGCACTGGGCACCATCTTAGCTACTCAGGAGGCAGAGATCAGGAGGATCACCATTTGAAGCCAGCCCAGGGGAATAGTTTCTAAGACCCTATCTCAAAAAAAAAAAACCCATCACAAAAAACGGGTAGTGGAGTGACTCAAGGTGTAGGCCCTAATTTCAAACCCCAGTATCACAAAAATACAAAACAAAACAAAACAAAACCCTAAAACTGGTAGTTTTACTTTTTATTTTCAGTGACATTTTTACATTTTTCTCCTTATCCTTTTCTCCCTCTGCCCCTTCCTTTTCCTTTTCTCTTAGTATGCATTCTTTTATTCACACTAATAATGAATCCATATTCAGAATTATATATTAATAGCTAAATTCTTATATCCCAAGTTGTTACTTGTTAAGATTTTTAAATAATAAGTTTTTGTATTGTTTTAGATTAATGACTCCTACACCTCCCTGCTCCCTCCCTACACACTCACATAAAGTCTGGACAATCAATTAGGCCCTTCATAGTAAATATATCTGGTTCTTTTCATTATAGTTAGATACCATTTCCTTCATCCTTTCTTCTTTCCTTGTTTTCTCAGTGTCACCTCATCATACTGCTTTGTCTTTACCCTTTACCTTACCAAGTAACATAGACATAAATGTAATTCAGCTTTCAGTATGGATTTTGATAGTCCACCACATTTAGTGAGGAGCAGATGGTATAGAACTTTAACTTTTCCAGAGTACTTACTGAAAAGCAAAGAAAGGGATGGAAGAAGGATGGAAGGAAGAAATTTTTTTAAATTACAGAAGAAAATAGGGAATCTATATGAAGAAAAGTAATATTTTTCAAAGTTACAAGTTTTTAAGAAAGGAGTTATGTGGGTATTATATGGCAAGTTGCAGATCCAGAAGTGTATTTCTCTTTTTATTCTAATTTCCACAAATTTGCTGTTCTTAGATATTTATGCCTTACTTCTCCTGCATTAACGATTCATTTCTGTAGCTGTTGATTCATCATGACTATAAGCTTTTTGTTTAAAAGAAAATGTAAAGTTTTAATTTATAAAGAAGATCGGAGTAGGCAAATCTGCACATAGAACAGTTTTGTATTCTTGTTGGCATTGTTGTGCTTTTACTTTTCAAAAGTCAGTCACCAAGCAACAACTCCAGTGTTGTCAGCATTAAGCAAACCCTCTACACTCTTGTTTAAATGAACTTCTGATGTTTACACACAGACACACACACTGCGGCATCCTAGGAGGGAATGGCTAATTAAATCTGATCTTCAACTATAGATTATTATAAAGTAGATTTCATTATATTCATTGGATAGGGATTTTTTTTTTTAAGATTAGTAAAGCCATAGGATAACAATTGGTTCAGCCATCATCATGGTGACCTGTTTTTTTCTTAATCAATAGTATATGACATAAATGACATTGAGGTGTTGATGATCAGTCCAGATTCTGTACTCCTTCACTGCCACTTTCAGTGGCTTAGCAGCGTCTTGGGTATGCTGAGGACAGGAGTCATCACATTGCCCAACAAGTTAAATATAACTTTTTAGCCTTTCTGCTAAAGTACTTATTTGTATTTTCATTTTTTTTCTTCTTAGAATTTCTACATATTTTTGAAGTGTGATAAAATATTTCCCACTAATCCTTTTAGTGATTATTTTAGTACATGAAAATAAAGTTACTTATCCACTTTTGTTTATAATTTTTCATTTAATATTTGTAAAATTTCATAGCCCTATCTGTAATAGCAGTCTGAATTTTATCATGGTCACATGTAGTCACCTCCTTTTTCTAAAAAATCGTTTCACTGATCTGTACCTTCCCATATAAGAATTGTCTTTTTGATTCATCTTTCTGTTTAACTGCAACAAAGTCTAATATTTAGTATTAGTTCTAAGTGTTTGTATGGTCTTCATTTGATGATGGCTATTTTTGATTCTCAGGAAAGTACTTTTAGTAGTTTTAACTTTAGAATATTTACTAGTTTAGCATTGTATCCTTAATACTTATTAAGCCAGCTCATGTAGAAAGATGTTAAACAGAATTAGCAATAATTGAGTAAAATGATAGTATCCAGCAGTAACATTGAAATCATATTTTAATCAAAATGGATATTTACCACATAATAAACTTAATTTTCACTTGATATCTGAATAATGATTAAGCAGAGCAAGAGGGCATTATTTTTATAACTTTTAGCTCAGATTTCTATGTTCTATGACAATATAACCTTATGCCTACAGACCAGTCTGTGTTTGTAACTGTATTGAAGTCAGTGAAACATAGAATTATGACATTTTCTGGATTTAAAAAATCCGTTTGCATACATTTATATGTGTGTGGAGTGTGTACATGTGTATATACTAGGATGAATAGAAAATTGAGTTAGGAAGGAAGAAGTTGGGAAAACTGTAGAAAAAGAAACACAATAGAAGCATTTGAATGATACTTGTGAAAGTTGGGGCCTTTAATTCTGTTTTTCTCTCCATATGATATAAACATCATGTAAAGCAATACAGTTAAAATTGCCTGTGCTTCAGATTAAGGATACAATAATTGTAAATAGCAGTATATTCAAGCTGTCTTGGAATAGAACATAATTGGCCAATAAGTTAATTTTTGTAAACTTTTATGAGGATCATATATTACCGGTATTTAATTGAAAATGGTTACTTTAGTGGTCGAGTTCATATTAATTATGCATTTCATACAAGACACAGTAGGAGAATATTATTGATTTATTATGCAAAAAAGAAAATATAAAATGGTGGTACAAATATTGTAGAATCTGATTTATTACATTCAAATGCAGTTAAAACTTAGATTTAAGGTAATCAATTTTCTGCTTAAATTCAGTTATCTTTATCCTGATGGGCGAAGTTACAACCCTGATTTAACTGGATTATGTGAACCTACTCCGCATGATCATATAAAAGTGACACAGGTAAGGCTAATTCTGGGAAAAGATAATAAGTATCTGTAGTACCTTTGAAATAAGTCAGAGTCTATATTAATACTATAGCTAAAATTACTTACAAGTACATAATACAAAGGATGACTTAGGGAATTCTAAGACTAACATGAAATTACATCACATATTTAGAATCAAAAATACTTACCGTTTATGTTTTTCCTTACAATATAATGTTGGCATTTATATAGAAATAGATAAATCAAAAGTTAGATAGATAGATGTCAGGATAGAGCCTTAATAAAGAATAAAACAGTAAAAATTATGTTTCATGGTATAGTTTTTACAGTCAAATGAATAATTGAAGGCTTTTGAAGATAATAATATTTTTGTCTAACTTCATTGTTGGCAATCTCAGATTATGAGTGAAAATATAACTTGGTAAAACCTTTCAAATAATATGAAACTATCATTAGACTATAAATGCAATATATGTATTGCTGATTTGTACATGCAAAGATATGTACAGTAGGGTGTTCACTGTAGCATTTCTCATAAAAAACTATAAAGTACCAAAATGTTAAGTAATAGATCAAATAAGCCATAGCATATTTAATAGAATAAGAGGGTGGTACTTCTACATATTTACATAGGAACTTCCCCCTCTTGTTCTGTAAAAAAGTTCCACTTATGTAAAGCTTAATTTCATTTTATAAAGTTACAATATGTAGGTCTAATTTTTCTAGATAAATAAGTTTCCATAAATGAGTACATAAGTATACATCTCAAAAAACACCAAAGTGGCAATAGTGTTTAACTGAGGAAGGATTAGAGAATCAGGGAGAGGATGAAGGGGAACTTGGATATTTTGTTTTAAAATCTAGGTTAAAAATATTTTTTACTTTAGATATGTTCATACTTTATGGAATAAAATAATAAAAATCAAAGGAAAAGAAAAGGCAAGCAAAAGAGAAATTATAGTTTTATTTTTCTACAACAGCAAATAATGAAGTAGTTCATTTGTAATTCTCCAGGTTTCAATACCTGTGGTCTTGATATTAAGTAAAACACACTCATTGACACTTTTATATGCAGTGTGACTAGCTTTTAAAATTTAATATATGATTCCCATTTTTTAAATTTTGTTTTCTAGTATATTTTCTAATATGTGCAAAAGGACATTAAGAAGTGAGAGTTCCTCTTTATAAACGCATTTTTTAAAGAATAAATCTTGAAAAGTACTATTCCCTTAAGAATACTACTCCTGCACTTTAGGTTTCAATAACTTCTGCACCTCTAGTTATCAACTGATTATGATTTTTTATAGTGCAAGCTTGCTTGGATACTTATAGGCAATGTAAGTACTTACCTACTATTTCACAAATGTCATTAATTCATAACTTACTTTGGATTACAACAGATAATAGTTTTCTTCCATTTTGATCTGTTGTCTTTTTCTTTAATTTGTCTAAAAATCAGGTATACATTTACATACATTACAGCAGGTGGATTTTGAGTAAGTGTGTAAGTGTGTGCATTTACCTCTGTATCTGTGTGTATAAACCAGTACATTTAAAAACATGTATATTCATATTTTTCAGCTGTTTTGTAATATGTTTGAGGAGCCCATAGAGTATGTATTCTCATTCCTTTATTCTACTCAGGGTCAGGTACATTGTAGACACTTACTGGGCTATAGCTTTGCTTTTTTATACAAATTTTGATCTTTATAATTCTGTTTTTAGCCCTCATAAATAACACTTGGTGAAACATTTTCTTTACATTTACTAATCTGTTTTGGTATTCTTCATGGTAACGGGTTTTTTAGTATTTGAACCTTGAGAATTTTATTATGCTAAATGTTCTAAACTTAAAAACCTAGTAAATGAAAATAAGTTTAGTAAACTAATTTTTAGTTGCTGAAGTGATTAGTTTTCTTGACTGTTAGAGAAAGCATGTACATTTTAGAGTCTGAGACTGAATTTAGAATTTGAGAAAAATAATTAAACCCATGGGAACTCAAATGTTTTTTCTTAAATTCAATGAATATTATGCTTTGGAGATTATATAAACTACCACACACAACTAGTGTGTAGCATGCAGGAAAGACAAGTATTGCTTGTCTTTCATTCTGGGATTCCTAAAGATTAATGGGAATAAAATTCTGTTTAGACAGAATGGTATGTTTTCTTCAGTTTCACTACCAAATGAGTTGAGAATATGGCATTTACAAAGGAGATAAAGTCAGTTATATTGCCACTTTAAAATCATAGGTTTTGTCTTTTGAATCAACTGTTGAAGCAAGTTCCTTTTTACAGGGATAGTATGAAACTTTAAATAATCCAAACTATTAAAAAGCTTATAAAATTGCTGGTAAGAACTCAATGTTTTAAAAACTCATTTTGTAGACAAAATTGTGATTACGAATTTAAAACTTGTCTTCAATGATAACATAATTCTGACAGGATCAAATGTGAGGTATTTACTATAAGTCTTGTATTTGAGGAAATTAGATATTAACATTTCATGCTAGAAATATATTAATATTGACTGCTTTTTCTCCCTGTATTACAGGAGCAATATGAATTATATTGTGAAATGGGTTCAACTTTTCAGCTCTGCAAAATCTGTGCAGAGAATGACAAAGATGTCAAGATTGAGCCTTGTGGGCACCTGATGTGCACCTCTTGCCTTACAGCATGGCAGGTATAGCAAAAACATAATTCTCAACAGTGGTGTCATGTTCACATTCCCTACAGATATTTTCTTTTCTGTTTTCTTTATGTTAATGAGTCAGGTAGTAATATTCATACTTGATTTATTTGAAATGGTTTGAATTTATATAATTTTGTTTTTCTGTGTTGTATATTTTTTTCTTTTGCATGTATAACTCAATTTTATATTAGTTCTAAGTAGTCCTGCCTTGGCACTACTGCTCATTACAGATAATACATAAGGATATTACCAGCTAACCATATTAATACAGTCTAGCGTGTGTCATATTCTGCTTATAGTCAATCAGACTCTGAAGCAAAGTAAACTATAGAAGACAAATCTTATACTGTTGTTTTCACTCAGATCTCTTCTCCTGAGGGCTGTCATTCCTTGCTCACAAATGTCTCTGGTTGCTTTGTATGGTTAAAATAGGAAAATCTTTTTAAAATGCGTAGTTACATATATAATTTACATTCCCTATCCTATTACTGAGCCCTTCCAGCTCTTGATCTTCTCTCTCCTACTCTATACTTCAAAGGAAGGATGGGTGAAGAGGATCATGGAGACAGGTGTGCAGCCTCAGAGGCACATTGATGACTCGTCATCTCATTACTTGATGCTGAAATACAGTCATTTTCACATTTTCATAGTCTTTAAAAGAAGCCTCCTTTTTGTGGGGAGGGAGATATTTAAAAAAAATGGGTAAGCAAAAGAGGAAGAACTGGAAATGCACCATAATTGGTTTAGATTTTCAGAGTCACTTCTGAATTCACAGATATTTTTGTTGTTGAAGTGAAATTGTTCAGCATCCCTACACTTCCCTCCAAGATGCATTTGGTTCATATTTTGCCTTAGGTTTTCTGGATCTACTTGCCTTTATTTCCTGTTATCCCTTCATTGTGTTCATGAATTTTGCATAGTCTGGGGAGATAGGTGTTAGAGGAGGAAGGAGGTTCAGTATAGCATCAGCAAAAATTGTTCTTAGCATATGGATACCTGATTGCTTTTTATGTTAACAGAAATAGTTCTGTAAGCTTAGCAATACCTTTTTAAAAATGACATCCAAAATGTTCAACATGCTGGTCTGTTTGCAAATGTGTTGTATGTACTGTGACAGGTATTGCAGAGGCACTGCTGACTCAGACACTGACTTCTGGGGGATTAGTTAGCACTGGGTTAGCTGATACCTGAACTGCCAAAGGAGCCAAATTCAATTGGTCATCCCTTTGGATTGACACAAGCATTCACTGTGGTAGTACATTTCTCACAGGTACAAAAAAATGAAGCTTTTACATTTCTTTCTAAAGAAAACCAGAATATTAGACTGGTACTGACTTCTAGTATACTCTGCCTCTATTCAGGTTTGATGTCTATCAGCCAGTTTTCTCCAGAAAACTAGAGGGAACACGTGCAGATATGTTACATGTTTTAGTAATTCAGTTATTTCACTTGGTACTATACTTAGTATTTGAGGATTAAGAGGGTTAAGGTTGGGAAGAAATCTTGGATCAGTAAAATTTATTGTTTAGAGCGTTATACAAAATAGCTGTTTATCCTGTGGCTCAAGGTGAGTTAATAAGTATGGTTGAATATAGGAAAATTTTATTTGTTCATTCTATATACTTCTTTTTTTTAGTATTCATTTATTTATATGTCCATACATTGTTTGGGCCATTCTTCCCTTGCCCCTTGCCCCCTCTCTCTCACCCCACCTGCTCTCCTATACACTTCTTGAGAGTTTTATGTCTCTCTTTTTTTTTTAACTTCAAGGCCAGTACTATGTCCTTTATTAAGTTTGTGAACAGTTTTCTAAAGGTCTGTTACATACAAAAGTCGTAGGATTATCTTTCACTTGTTATTGCTCTATTGTTAGTACTTAGCCCTTTATTTTATCATGATGCTGCTACGTATTGCTATGCATTCTCCACATGGTGTAATTCCTCTGATAGTCACTAATCAGTTCCTTGATTCATTTCATGATTTTTCGTACTGATCTAGTGATAGTACATGTAGATATGTCCAATATTTATAAATTATTAACATTTGCTATTTCTCTTTTTTATGCTGAAGTACTTCTCAGTTTCATTTTTAGAAATTGAGGAAGTACATAAATTGTCAAGCACTGGAAACAGCATTTAGGTAAAATTTGAGCAGGAGTATATGAGAGAGAAATAACACGGCAGTAGTTTAGTAACTAAATTTGTAAAAATGACAAATTCAGAAGTATTCAGAAAGTTGGAATAATAAGCATATTATACTTATGTCCCTAGTAAATAATAATACACTAGTCTGATGATTAGATTCTTTTATATAGGTTAATAAAAATATGCAGAAGTTTTATTTCAATATTAACTCAAGGTTAATATTGAAATAACACAAAACAGTGTTCTACTAATAAATATCCTGATGCACTTTGTATATGTCTCTGTAAGCACTTACCTCATTTTATTATAACTATTTACATAAGTATCTGTTTCTCTTCTAGAATGTGAATTATTTTACCTGTTTTTGAATCCCTGTCCCCTAGTATTATATTTACTCATTGGTACTTAGTAAATATTTGTAGAATGTGTGCTACATTATTTAAAAGAGAGAGAAGTCTAAGATTACAATAAATACAAAGACAGTATTGTAGATCAGTTGTGAAAAGCCTTCTAATATCTGTCCAGTTATTTCCTGAGAGGTAACTATGATCTTTCAGAGACCTTTTATTGTGCTGCAGATCTCAGAATGAGTTTTAAAAATTCTAAACCACAGATCCATTCCCTTCATTCCATAGCTATTGTGTGATTTCCTTTGACTTCTCACATTTTTCCCACTTATATTTGAACCCCATTATTTATTTTCATTGTTTGTTGGCAGTACTACCAGCACTATCAAAGAAGTAGTAAGACTGAGTTTCTGTTTATTTCTTTTTACCCCAAGAATCATTCATTTTGATCCCTGATTCAAGTTTTCCTGCTCTTCTCTCTAAATAAACTTGTTCTTAGGGAAAGTTTTGAGAAGTCTGAAGTGATATTCCAGGGTCCCTGTATCTTAGTGGGCTCTTACTGGTCAAGGAAGCCTCAGCTTTTGATTATCTTCTCTTTGTGATAACCCAGCATTTCTACATTTCCATGCAGATTCCACATACTGGTGCTTCCTGCCAGCCAGCAGATCTGTTTTGACAGCTTTCATGTTGATGTTTGAATAATGTTTTTGATTATTTAAATGTATTATTGAAATTTTTCTTCATTATTTAATAAAAATAAAGATCTTACAAAGTTAATCCAGTTTAAAAAAAAATTGAAAAACAGATGGTCTAAAAACCTCCTATTTGTAGTCTGAGTTTGGGAGTACTTAATCTAACTGATCATGAAAAAACAAAATCATAGAACATTTTCTTAGTTCTGTAATAAATTGTCCAACCTGTGTCTAAACTCATCTGGATTAGGTACAGGTAGGAATATATGTCTCATTTTTCAACTTTTCCATACTCAAAAAATGGTATAATGCTAGAATTCATGTTTTCTAACCTTAAAGCCTGTGGTTTTGTTTTATATGATTGCTTTTCCTACGAAAGAGAAACAAAATTATGCACAGAGAGAATCCATAGTGCTGCTTACCCTAACTGGCTTAGTAGAAGCAAACCTGATTGCTTCAACCATCATTCCCCATGATCGCAAATCCATTCTTTATTCATTTATTTAAGAAACATTCCTGGAGCAGCTGCTGTGTTCCAAGGTCTATACTTACCTCTGAGCTAAAAAGAAAATTCAGACACAGTTCCTACCTTCAAGAAGTTAATACTAATTCCAGAAGTTTTATAGAAGGGGTTGGTATTAATAATCACTTGAAATGAGTATTCTGTTATCCTTCAAATTTAATTATGGATGCGAGACATTTTTTTTCTACTTTGCACTCCTTGGTTGGCCATTCTGATACGAAAATGATTTCAAAGGCTGAATGTTTACCAGGACCTAATAAATCAGTCAGAATCCAATAGGAAATACTAAACCTTGACCATAAAACATAATGTGTTCAATCAATGTGCATTTTTAGCAAGTTATTCCTTACCAATATTTCCTTCCATTTGATGCCCTAGTTTGGTTTAATTGAAATTCATTAGAGACTTAAATCCATGTAATTAACAGAAAACCTAAGAAATGCAGGGTAGCAGTGTCAGTTAGTTGTCACAGGCTGCAAGTGGTTACTCTTTAATTGCTGTCATAATGACTCATTAGTCTTGCCCCCAGAAAGGTGTCAGATGCTTTTTTTCTCCTTCTGAAACACCTGTATTATTTAATAAATTGAATAAGCATGCCAGAGTTTGCACAGAATACTAAATAACCCAAATGATCACCTTTCCAGAGGCATTCTGTGAAGTAGCATTACTCTGGGTGCGGCTTCTGTTCTACCCTTGGTTAATAAAGCTTGGAGAGCTTTCTTTCACTTCCGCATGTTAATAGAATATTAACAAAATGTTTATCTTTATAGCCTTGAATTTCTGCAGTCTTCCTTTGTGTAGAAGTGTATTGTGCAGCAATGATGCTGCAGGGTTACAACATGAGTTGTAAAATAGGCATTGTTTCACTGTGTGTTTTTTCAAGGAATCTAGAAAATGACTTCTGAGCATCTGAATGGCTCAAACTCTAAACTGAATTCCTCAAATCTCCCATCCAAAATAAAAATGAATCTCTTTGTCAGTTATGAAGCCATATTTTTAATTGCTATCAAGAACTTTTATTCAATTAAAAGTGAAATTAATTTTTCCTCTGATTATTATTCTTGGATATTTCTTTAAAATATTTTAACATTCCAAAGTAGTAGTTCGCAGAAAAGTTAGTAAGTGAAAACCACAATGAGCTGTGATTTTAATATTGCATATAATTAGAGATTTATGGGTCTTCCATATTTAGAGAGTATTGTTGGAAAAAATATTGGATAGCTGTCGAAGAGGTGAGAAGCAAGCACAAGTGGTCACCTTTAAGGCTTCAGAAGAGATAATCATA